GTCAACCTTGAGCCGGTGAGATTTGAACCGCCGAACTGCAGATAACAGTCAGCTGAAGTGGCCTGCAGTACTGCACTCTAACCACTGCGCCACCTTGGCTCAGGTTGGTGATCCAACTTCATAATGCTTGCGAGACTGTTTCAATATATCAATATATGCTTCTTGAATGAAATAAAAGCATAGTATGTAAAAACCTTCACCCGAAGGAACAGAATTGGTTTCTGATGCTATTTGACTACATACTTTTGGTAACATGCACCAAATCTACAAACCTAAAATTTAAAAATCCTAGCGTGCATCTGAACTTAAACTTTGCTTTTCCTAATAAAAGATTTTAGATGGCATAAAGTTTATCTGCATCACGTTGTTCTTTGTAAGCACGTTTATAAATGTTAGCTTCTATCTACCTCAGCCAAGGAAAAATGATCACAGTTGACTCACTATAATGAAGAAATTTTATTTTAATCCCATCTGAATTCCAGAAACTAATGAAATGCACATTTAATTATTACAGGCTAAAACAATACTTCAAATCCAAAATGAGGAGGATGTAAGCATTGCAGTACCTGTTCTGTTTCTTTTTCTGCTATTTGATGGAAAAGATCTTGACAGAATCTCGGTATTATTCCTCGTTCATCATCATCAAAACCCATCATGCTGTAATGACAATTTAAATATATTCAGTTCAGCAGAAGACCTTTGAATTTCTTCAAATCATTCTCCAAACAAAAGAGGTCCAGGTTTTTAAAAAAAGCAACTTAAAGAAATCAGAATTGTTCTACAGAATCAGAATACTTAAAAATCTTCAAGCATTAAAAAAAAATTAACCATCTTCATTAGACTAATAAATGAGACATTGTCAGGGTAATGACGATTTAATAGTTGACCAGCTGCTGTAAGGTTTTCAAACCGAGACGATGACATGGGGATGAGTCAGCAAGGTTACTGCCACTTTAAGAAGCTGTATATATAAGGGAGGCCATGTGAGGACGTCTATCTCTCCTTGTGTATTTCTCTCCATTATAGTTCTCCGTGTAGAGTTGAAGATTGATTGCCTGCTTAGTATTTGCCTGACATGTGTATGTACATATATATAAGTCCTATATATAAACCACTGTTTGAAAGACAAAAACTTACACACATACACATACACACACACATATAGTCTAATAACAAAGGTAGGAACTTCTTGCAGATTTCATCTTCAAATGATATAATAGTATCAATATCAATATAGTATCAGTATAAATATATCTGATAGCATATATAATAAGGCAAAGAAATGTTGCCTTCCTTCTTGGATACTCCAAAATTAAAAGTGCTGCTAAGCTACAGATGGCAAGACAGAAAGAAAAGAGAATAGATTTTTGTCCTTATAAATTTATTTAGAAAAGGAGGGGTGAAAACTCTCCAGATCCAAAACCAGGACTTTGGATACAGAAAGTCCACCCAACTTCTCAGTACATCCAATGCCTCATTTTGACTGAGCCGAGGTGGCGCAGTGGTTAAATGCAGCACTGCAGGCTACTTCAGCTGACTGCAGTTCTGCAATTCGGCTGTTCAAATCTCACCGGCTCAA